AAATTTTTTCTATATATATTAGTTGGCCAATTAATTTCTTTCTATTTATAGTAGAGATGGGGGTCTCGCTCTTGCTCAGGCTGGTTTTGAACTCCTGACCTCAAGTATTCTGCCCGCCTTGGCCTCCCAGAGTGCTAGGATTACAAGCGTGAGCCACTGCACTAATTTCATGCATTTTAAACTGTTTCAATTAAATAGTGATGACTTGCGTAGCTGATTAATATTGAAGAATCTCTGGGACTACGTTTTTAAAAAAGCAGATCTATGTGGTTGATTTTGTCATAAGTTAGAAAGTGTTGAGTTTTGGATAGTTGCACGTTTTCAGTAATAGTATGTGCCAGGCATCATGTTAAGAGTTGTGCAAAAGTAGTCCCTAACCACAAAGCGGTATTAGGAAACATGCAACTAGAAGCGAAATGAGATGTATGATTCCACTGTTTGAACAGAGAAATTCTGCCTATGAGGGAGGGGCATAAGGAAGGCAGTTCAGAAAGACTTTTAAAAAAAGGCAATGTTTAAGCCAGATTGAATGAAAGAAGTGAGGGGGAGAGGTAGAGTGGAAATTCTATTTAGGAGAACAAGAAAAACAAAATCATGAGGGTGTAAAATATGAAAATATTGAGCGTATGTTGGTGAGGCAGGAGCACAGAGAGGAAGGATATAGGAGATGTATTTTTTAAAAATTTTTTTCTCTTTTTTATTTTTTATTAAAAATTTCTTCCCTGGATATGCTAAGATAGGAGATGTATTAATATAAGGTTCTGAGTTTGTCCTATAACAAATAGAAAGCCATTAAAAAAATCACATTAAGGTTTTTTAGTTTTGGGGTATATGTGACCAAATAAGTAATAAATATTCATGTTAGAAATTCTAGAAATGAGAGAAAGCTATATAAACATGAAATCATTCCTTGTACCAGTACTTAATAATAAAAACAGTACAGTAGGTATTTGCTGTTTGGGGTCACCTAGAATCCATTTTATATTGTTTGTAAAGGTTTTTATCCTCTCTGTTTAGTGCACGTATTTCAGAGAAAATTGAGTTCTGTGATGCTAAGGGTTGGGCAAGGGGTCCAGAATTCAGGTTAGCTTTATATATATACACGGTTGCAACGCTTGGTCCAGAGCTGAGCTTGTGACGTAAGTTGCCCCAATTAAATTGATGCTCAGGATTTTTGCTTAATGGTTGGGAAGAACATTTCTTTTTCTCCTTAGATATGAATTAGGAAACACACAGTCCCAGAAACCACTGGCAGCCAGCTCGGTACCACAAGGGGTGGAGGTGATGAGATTAACAGTCAAAACAAACCAACCAACAAACAAAAACAACCAAGGAATAGAGAAAAGGAAAAGTGGACAAAAAGTGGTTCTAGTCTTTACATTTGGATGCTCAATGAAACCAACTCTACCTCTAGAGACTTTTCATCGTGAAGACCAATCAAGTCCCTGTATGGTTTAAGCCAGTTTGAGTTGCTACATAAAATCTATTACTTGTCACTGAAACATGCTACTTGGTAGGACAGTAATCTTGCGGAGCCCTCATGCCATAGACCCTTAATGAACTGTCTCCTCTGTTCAAATCAGCTGCTGTTATTCTGGTAAAGTACCCTCTGAGTACTCACAGGCAGGACCTCAGTAGTCATCTTTTCTAGCTACTCTTGCATGGCCCAAGATTGTACAACTGGCACAAAGCAGAACAACTTTGGATTATGACCAAGAGAAAGAGTATGTTTTTTAGCACCTGAAACTTTAACAGATAAAATTCGGAGCTGTCTGTATCCCTATTTTCTGTTATGTAGATAGAAGTAAAAAACTTTATCTAAAGGAAGAGAAAAGGAGCCAGAACATATGTGCAGGGGAAAGCAATGAGAGAAAAATGAAATAAAGATAGAAAAAAACTTCTAGGTCCCTCGTTCCATCCATTCTGCTGTCAAAATTCATTTCAACCTTTTTTTTCCAGGTTCTGTGAAATCCCTTTTTGGTAAGCAAATAAGAACACAAAGGAAGATAATTTTATTTATTTTTATAGCCTTGTCCAGAGCAGATAGATATTCAGTATAATAACAAGTACAGTTGTATTGGTTATTTAAAGCCAAAATTTATTCTAATGGTACTAGTTGTAATTTGGGCATATTAAAATAAATGTTTTCAAAATGGGGATTACACTTTATAAAAAGTTTTTTTAAAAATATTACTTTACCTTTAATATTATACTTAAGGAAAGTATTCTATACTCTTAAATGGTCTTTGAAATTATGATTTGTACATGGCAAACTCTACCTGGTTTGCTATGAATTGCATAACTATTGTTTAATTGTTAGATATTTAGATTGGTTTCCGTCTTTAACCATTATAAAATTCTGCAAGAAATATTTCATAGCGAAAATCTTTGTCCATATTTCTAAAAAAATTCCTTAGAATAATTTTTTTAAAAAAGTAATCGCAGGGATATTTTTAAGCGTCATGATAAATATGGCAAAACAGTTTTCTAGAAAGTTTTTGCCAATTCCCATAGAAATTTTTTGAGTGCTTGCCTTGCTGTGACATATCATGGATCATATATTTTCATTAAAAAATCTTTACCAATTCCAGCATCAATTCTTAATTAATGAAGGGCTATGTTTAAAACATTATGGATTGCTGTCCGCAAGTATGCATATGTGTGTTGAGTTATCTGCAAGCACTGTGTTCTCGGGGAGCATCCCTTAAGTTTTCTTCTAATGCCTCTCACGTGGCTGTGCTTTTTTCCAGCTTTCTAGTCTCTTCTCTCTACTAGGTTCCCGTCTCCCTAATGGACTCTGTTCTCCAGTCTTTGCTTGTTAATTCAGTGGAATAAGACAATATGCCCTAATAAGAGTTCTATAGGAGAAATCATCTTCTGAGCCTTTGTCTCATTGAGTTGACCCCAGACCAAATTGAAGTCTGAACCCTTGATCAAAACATGGTGCACAAAAGGAGATTTGTGTGTTGCTCTTTGTGCAGATCAATACATTTTCCTAGAGAAAAACTCAATATGGCACAAAAGACCGAGTTCATATTCTTATGTAACAACTTTTCACTGTATGAAAATTTTCACAAGGGAACGAAGTAAGAATGTGTTTATGTGTTGGTCTTACTATAGCTTCTTTGTGAGTGTTTGTGCGTGAATATGTTGTTTAATCTAAGTATTTCCTTGTTTGAAGTCCAAGGTCAAAACCCATATCTTTTAATAAACTTAAGTCCATTTCACCCTTGGCATTTCTCTATGCTATTTCTTCTTCTTATCACTGTATTTATTTATTCAACAAAAGATACACTGAAAACCCAGGATGGGCCAGACGCTTTGCTAAGTGCTGGGGAAATGGCAATACAATAAATAAGACCAGACTTTTTCCCTATGTTCATAGAGCTTATAGTTCAAGAGAAGAGACAACTCTTAATTAAATCATCACCTGATTAAATTATGGTTATAAGCAACGATAAATGCTTGAGTGAAGGAAAGAGACAGAAAACCTTGAGCAACTATGTAATTGAGAGAGATGCTGACCTAATTTGGAGAATGGGGGGCGGGTGAGGGGCGACCTCTCCAAGGAAATGTTTGAGCAATAAGTAGAAGAAACAATACAAAAAAAAAAAAATAGGAGACATAGGATGGGAGAGTAGCTACAGTCAAAGCAGCAGCTTTTCTAAGAAGAATTCTTTGATTCTTTATGCTGTTCCTTAGCTTATTCCTACAGCGAATCTTAACTGAGTACCACCTCCTATGTGCCCATCCTGGGGTGCTGGGAATACGGCAATGGATGAGATATTAATAGATAAAGTCCATGTCCTCATGAGGCTTTTACTTAGGTGGAGGAAGCAAAACAAAGAAAAGCTGAAAAAAGCCATCATTTCAGCTAAGTGCTATGAAGAAAAACAAGGCAGGGAAAAAAGTTAGGGTACCTGTGTGTGAAGGGGGCTATTTTAGAGAGAGCGTTTAGAAAAGGCCCCTCTTAAGGGGTAGAGAAAGGAATAATGTCAAGAAGGCCTCCCTGCAGAAACCTGGGCAGGGAGAAGCAATAAGGATAAAGTGCTTGAGGAAAGAAGGGGCTCAGTGAGTTTGAAGAGCAACCAGGTGGCCAACAGGGCTGGAGCATATTGGGTGTGAAAAAAGGTAGGCAGTGATGGCGGGGAGGTGGGAAGGGCCACCTAGGACCTAGTAAGCTATAGCATGGAACTCAGATTCTATTGCAGGTGTGATGGGAATCTGGGAAAACACTGGAGGATCTCAAGAACTAGAAAGATGTGATTGACTTACGTTTTCAAAATATCACCCTTGATTTAAAATTGAAGAGGGAGACTAGTTAGAGAAGGCTGCACAGCAGTGACCCAAGTGAAAGGTGATGTGGTTTGAACCAGGGTGGTCCCTGCAGAGGTGGTTAGAAGTGGTCAGAGTCAGGGGATTAATTCAAAGTGGAGCTGCCCCAACCTGCTGGATGGATTTGGATGTGGGTGGTTGGGAACAAAAGAAAGAAAGAAACCAAATATGGCTCCAAGTTTTTGCCTGAACAACTTGATGAATGGAGACGCCATTACCTGAGAGGGAGAAGTCTGCAGAGAAAGTTCTGTTTCGGAGAGTGTAGCAAGATACTGGTGATATCCCTGTCCATTCACACAACCTGTGGGTGCCAATGGCGTCCAAAGGCAGTGTCTTGGTCGGCTTGGGCTGCTTTACAGAAATACCATGGACTAGGTGGCTTAAACAACAGATATTTATTTCTCACGGTTCCGGAGGCTGCCAAAGCCAAGATCAGGATGCCAGCAGGGTTGGTTTCCGGTGAGGGCCCTCTTTCTTGCTTTGCAGGTGGCCATGGTCATGCTGTGTGTCTTCCTTTGCCAGAAGGCACAGAGGAAGCACGCTCCGTCATAGCTCTTTTTAGAGGAACAGTAATCTCCTTCTTGAAGGTTCCACCCTCATGACCTCATCACCTCCCAAAGGTCCTACCTCCTAATGCCATCGCACTGGGGGTTCCGATTCCAACATATCCAACATTCAGCACACAACAGCACACAACTGCATCTGCAGCCCTTCTCCAAGAGCTCTCTCTCACGCCTGTGGGGTAGGGAAGCTGCCAGTGCCAGAAGGTTCTATCCTCCAGAGCTTCCCAGAGCTAATGAAGGTGAGGTTGCTGAATAAACACACCAGCTTCCTCAGCCCTGGAGTGGAGTCATTAAGAGGTGTGTTCTACCCTGTTCTAAACTGGAGTTTCCTAGCAGGATTAAGCCCTAGTTGTCTATAGTGGAAACCTGCTCAAAAATGCATCTTTAATTGGCTTCTCACCTTTCTGTTTTTTTCCCCACTCCCTTCTCAGTGCTTCCTGGTATCACCTTCTAGGTGAATACTTTATGTATAAATATTTGTCTCTGGGTCTGCTTCAGGGAACTGAACCTAAGACACACAAGGTTAGCTCTAAGATATCTGCTGGCTATCAAAGTAAGGATGTCAAGTAGGTCGCTAAGCATATGGACTTAGAGCTCATGACTAGTGATAAAAATGTTGGGGTCAGTAGTCATTGGTGTATAGATGGTCTTTAAAATCATGGCAGTGAACGGGATCATGACGTATTAGATGAACAAAAAGGAAGGCCATGTGTCTAGAGTACAAACAGAGCAAGTAAGATGAGGAGAGAGAAGGAAGTAGGGGTAGGGGCCAGGTTGTGTAGCATCTTTTAAGTGTGTAAGGCTTGAGCCTTTATCCTAAGGGCAAAAACCAAACGGATTTACCCTTAGGGTCTAGGACTCCTTCAGGGTTGCTATGAAAGTTGATGTCTGCCCAGTGCAAATGTATGTTTTGTTCTCTGAACTTCACAGTAAACACTACAGAGACAGGAGAATCAGGCTCGTTCCCTCTTTTCCACAGTATACTATGTTCAGGTGCTCATTTGACTTTCAAAATCCTTCTCGTTAAAATGTGCATCTTTTCAGATATGCTCACAATCTCACACACCTGAGCACATACTCCCAGTTAATATCAGTCCTGAGACAGTCCTGGCAGCCAATGTGCCACACACCCCCTCTCACCCCCTCCCTCAGCAACCAGAGCCCAGAACTTGTGCTTGGCTCTTTCTTGCTATGAAGATGGGGGAGACCGGGTGAATCTATAGGTCCCCTTGATCTTGAACTTCTAGCCTCTGGCACTGTGAGCAAATAAATTTCTACCGTTTAAGACACCCAATCTGTGGGACTTGTTATGGCAGCCCTAGAAAATTAAAACTCTAGGCAAACTGGGAATGTTTGTCACTCAAAGTAGCTTGCTAAGTCAACATGTGGTAGAGCCAGGATTTGAACCCTATGTCTGTGCTCTTAAAACTAGTGCTATTATCAACTCTCTAGACATAATAACAAACACATAGTACCTAAGTGCCAGGTACTTTTCTAAGCATTGTTCTGATATCAGTATGTTAACTTCTCATTAGTATTCTTATCTTACAGATCAGCAAACATCACACAGAGAGAGGTAAAGTATCTTGTCTAAGATCACAGTAAGTAGTGGAGCCAGACTGTAAACTTCTTATCAAATAAGCAGTCTGTGCTGTACATCACTATTCCATTAATTCAAAGTGTCACAACATTTCAGATAAGCACAGTGGTTTAGGGACCATCTGTCCCATGACAATTCAGAGTCCCAAAACTTTAGTAGCTTGAAAATGGCTTGTAGGGACAGAACAGGAACTCATGGTTTAGTGTCCTGATTTCTGGTCTGGTTTCATTTGTTTGTTTAAACTTGATGGAGGTATAATTTCCAGGCAACAAAAAGCATCTACTAAAGTATGTACTTTTTGACTTTTGGAAGATGTATATGGGCATACAACACAGTTATAATCAAGACACAGAACATTTCTATCACCACCAAGAGATTCTTTTGATCTTTTTAGAGTCCATCCTTCCTTGCAACCTCAGCATACGCTATCATGATAAGGCTGTTATCAACATTTGTATTTGCAAGTTTTTGTGTGAACATGTTTTTATTTCTCTTGGGTAAAGAGCTAGGAGTGGAATTGGTGGATAATATGATAGGCGTTACATTTGACTTTCTGAGAAATCGAAAATGGTTTTCTAAAGTGGTTGTACCATTTTTCTTTCCCATCAGTGGTGTAGCAGAGTTTTAATTGCTCCACGTCCACTCCAGCACTTGCTGTTGTCCTTTTCACTTTAGCCCTTCTGGTGGGTGTGAAGTAGATTCTTAGTTTGACCCTAATTTTAATTTCCCAGATGACTAATGATGTCAAGTATCTTCCTATTTGTTTATTTGCCATTCATATGTCTTCTTTGATGAAGTATCTGTTCAAATATTTTGCCCTTTTAAAAACTCAACTATTTGACATCTTTTTATTGAGTTGTAAGAATTCCTTATATGTTCTGGATACAAGTGGTTTATCAGGTGTATGCATTTACAAATAATTTCTTCCAATCTGTGGCTTGCTTTTTCATTTTCTTAACAATGTATTTGAAAAGCAGGAGTTTTTGATTTTGAGGAAGTCCAAGTTATCCGTTTTTCCTAATGGTTTGTACTTTCTCTGTATTATCTAAAAATCTTGGTGTAACCCAAGTCATACAGATTTCCTCTTATGATTTTTTTCCTAGAGGTTTTATTGTTGTAGATTTTCCTGTACTCATGATCACTTTTGAGTTATTTTTGTATATTTTTAAATATTTATGTATTTTGTATATTTTAGTATATTAGATGTTGACTTTGGGCACATGCTGTGTTATGCATATAATATATATCATTTTGTTTAACCCTGACAATAATCCTTTGTGACAGAGACTGCCATTGTTCCCATACTGCTGATGAGGACATTGAAGCTTGGAGGGACTGAGAAGCTTACCCAAGATCGCTACTCTTGTTAGTAGAGGACCGAGGATTCAAATCCAGATATTTTTATTTTGGAGTCTGGCTTTTAGCCCACTAAGTTATACCTGCAGTGTAACCTCATCTGTGACATGGTGGGATCCTTCTAGACAGGATCCCATACTCAGTTTTGACTCTCACTAGTTAATTATAATGACTTATTCTGAACCATAATGGAAAAAGACTTATACTAAAGTATAAGTCTCAGTGTTATAGTAGTGTTATCTTAGCGTTATAGGTACTTATTCAGTTAGGAACTGGGATGGGAGACACTTACCAAAGAATATTTAAAAAAAAATTTTAAACAGAGAAAACAACTATATTTGGGATATTCTTAGGGAACCGGAAGAATAACATTTTTTTTTTCTATTTTTACAAGTATTTAAACTTCTAATCCCATAATTGAATAATGTCATAGAGTTGGTTGAAGAAAAGTAATGTCTTGGAAGATCAGTAGGTCTGTTTTATTACTTCCCAATCAAAGGCTTACAACACTTGGAAGAATTGGATTTGAGAGAAGTCTGAGGAAAAGGATAGTATTTTTGACTGTATATTAGATAGTTAAATAACTTGCACTTAGTACCTGTATTGGTTTGCTAGGGCTACCATACCAAAGCACCACAGACCAGTTGGCTTAAGTAACAGACATTTATTTTCTCAGTTCTAGAAGCTGGAAATCTTTGATCAAGGTTTTGACAATGTTGTTTCTTCTGAAGCCCTCCTTTCTTGACTTGTATTTGGCTGTCTGCTTCCTGTGTCTTCACATATTTGTGTTCATATTTCTTCTTCTCTTATAAGGGCATCAGTCCTATTGGATTAGAGTCTGCACTAATGACTTTGTTTTTTTAACTCAATGACCTCTTTTAAAGACCCTAACTCCAAATATAGTCACATTTTGAGGTATTGTGAGTTTGACTTCAACATGAGTTTTGAGGGGACACAATCCAGCCCATCATATTAAATAAGCTCTGGGCTTTAGTTTATTCATCTGTACAATGGGGATATTGAATGAGATAAAGAGTTCATAACCTTGAGTCTTAGTTGGAGGTAAAGACGGTGTCCATAAACCTTCCAAAACATTATACTACATTTTGTACATCTATTTTTTCTGAGGAGGAAACTCTATAGTTTTAATTGGATTCTAAAAGGGGTACATGACCCCCCAGAAGATTAAGAGGCAATGAATTAGATAATTTTTATAGCACTTCTCAGCTCTTAAATTGTAAGAACATAGCCTTTGAAAAGAGAAGACAATGTTCTATTCTTTCACAGGACTAGCCAGGAAATTCCTCCCAATGCCTTTAATAAACACTTTCCATTGTAAATATAATTTTACTCCATTTTGGACTGACTCTAGAACAAATGTAGTCAAGAGAGGTCATAGGGTACATTTCTACTTTTTCACAGTTTTCTGAACAATGTTTCTGTTTGGTCATCGTTGGAATATTGTAGTCTAATTCCTTTCTCATTTTCCTTGGAGCTGAACTCGCTAATCTGCATATAATTTTTGTTGTTCTTCTCTGGCCATCATTCTCACCCTTGAGAATGGCTAGCCTTGAGAAAGGCTAACGTCTGGAGGCATTGGTATGCGTGCTCAGACACACACAAACACACACATGGCACAACTGGAACAGAGGCAAAGTGAATAGAAAGCTACTTTGAACATAATAAGTATTTATTAACATTTGCTGAATGAAAAATAAATGAATGAGTTCAACCCCAGGGAGAATAGTTAAATTCAGTTAATAATTGAATAACTACTTTCAGAGCCCATAAATAACACTACTGTATTAGTTAGGCTTCTGATTATGAGCAATTACTCTGTTGATCATTTCGGGTAGAAAACATAAACCACATCAAATACAGAATGTACATGTGAAAGTGCATCTAGTCGATCTGTGTGCACTTGTATTTACATATCACCTACTTAATATTTAGAACCACACGTGTCTCTGTGTGTGTGTGTGTGTGTGTGTGTGTGTGTGTGTGTGTGTAAAACAATGAAATAAAGATCAATACAAGCTGCACAGCTTTTATTGGTGGAATTTGTGAAGTGGAACTGACTTGTTTATTTTCTCACCCCAGGTCTCCAGCAAGCTGGCTGGATTTTTTCCCTTTACTGTAATCACATGCTTACTGAATAAGGTGTTTGAAAATGATGCGCCACGTTGGCATTTTGATGCCTCCTAAGGATGCATTAGCCCCCTGTGCTTGTCTGCGTGGATCTGTGTGCAAAGGTGTGGATCACAGGGAAGTAGAATGAAGAGAGAAAGGAGGAGCTGGTTCACAATTTTCACTTGCATTACTTCCACGGGGAATAAGAGTC